ATGGCACTGATTTCTCTGAGATACAAACTTCAGAAGTCAAGTCAACATATAACACTGGATAGAGGAAAACAGATTCTGTATTACTGTAAAATAATAATAATAACAATCAATATGTGAAGCTTTTTTTTTAATGAGAACACTGGTGTGAACAGTAATACAACTCCCCTTAACTGACAATGGATTTCTAAAACTACTACAAAACATAAGGAGTCAAAACCAACTTGGAACACTCTAAAGCAAAGCGTGACTTTCTACACGTGTGTGTTTTGTTGTGTTTCTATTTCTGGTCACAGACCAACCTTGTACTAAGAGCAGTGGGCAGTAAGTGTGCTGTATTTAACCCCGAGTTGAGCTCCGACCCATCAAGTCCTGATGAAATGCCCAATACAAATGCAGAGGGATTAAAAGCACCACAGAGTAGCCCGTGAAAAGTGGATTATTTTGACAAAGATACCTTTAAATATGGACTTCAATTTGAAAAGAGGAAGAAGTCCCCAAGACACTTTGCCATTCAAAAACCACAGGATGGTGCAGAATGCGAAAGATCCCTTTTTCTCTCTCCAGGTCTCTGGAGGTGGAAAGAACTGACATTCTTTCAAGCTCTCTCCCAGTTCTCAGACCTCTGGTTGATCTGGCTGTTTACAGGTTACTTTAACTAAGCAGATGATCCCAAGGAGACTCTTCTCAACAGCTGACCCAAGACTAGTTGGTGTCATTCCGGCTGGACGTGGGAACCAACCAGGAAACTTAAGAAAAGAAAATCAAAGATCAAGAGTGACCTCATGCCCCACGGATCTAGGATGGGATCCGTGTGTATTTTAAGTGTTCTCCAGGGAGTCTACTGGGAAGTCACCCTTCACATCTACGGCTGGAGAAGAAAGGCTGAGATCAAATGAAGCTCGTGTGTGTGTCCGGGCAGGCAAGGCAGATGAGCCACACAGCCCTGGCTCACAGAACTGGAAAACACCGGTCTAATTCACATCTCTCCAACCAGCAGCAGGGACAAAGCCGGTCTTTAGCGTTTTGTTTAGTGAGACAGGGTCTTATTGCGTAGCTTTGGCTGGCCTAGAACTCACTACCTAGGCTGGGTTGGACACAAACTCACAGAGATCCGCCCACTTCTGCCTCCAGAGTTCTGGAACTGAAGGCATGCCCCACCACACCCGTTGACATCTTTAAAAAGGAATGCTGGAAATCCATGTGTGACGTGACATCCTAATTTTTTTTAATCCAGGAACTCAGCCCAAATCATTTTAAAAGTATAACTCACACAAACCACGCCCACAAGCACTCATCAGTTTGCAATTACAACAGAAACGACTGTGACTTAGGGCCTACTTTCCTCAGTTCTGTCCTCCCACACCCCAGGCCACCACCGATCCCTTTCCTTTCCCTCTCCAGCCCACCTTCGTCACTGCAAGAGACGGAAACTGAGAGGCTCATGTCACGTCTTCACGTGATCCTGGCCTTCTCGCTGGAAGGGCCTCCAGGCCTGGGAATAATACAGGCCACGCATTGTAACCTGAGGTCCCATGATGTCAGCAACTGGGTGGTTTGGTAAAATCGAGGGGAAAAGCCAGGCAAGCTCATAGCTTCACACTGCTAAGACTTCAGCAGGCGACACAGACATACCATCTCTGATGCTCGGTTTGCGAGCTCTGCTCTAATCTTAAAAACCGCTCCAGAATCTCCCCTCACGCTTCCGTGTCTCCTGCCTGATCTATCTTTGGAGACAGAGTCAACGCGTCGGGAGATTTTTCAAAGACACAGGTTGAATCAACCGTGGAGCTGGGCTGAGAACCACTAAGATTAGTAGTGAACACAGACTAGATAGTCCTGGCATGGCTGACTCTCGTTGCATCTTCACAGCTCTGGATGGGGACTGAGTTGCCCCCAGTCACTGCCACCTCGCTCACCTCGCTCACTGTGCTACGACTCCACCCCACCCCAGGCCATCGGACTTCTTTGAATTTCTCTGACATTAATGACAAGCTTGAAACCCATAATCGGCAGAAAACCAATAGCCAGGCCATCAAACAGTACCAATAAGAATGTGTGAGCAACCTCATCTCCACCATCTTGATTAAGTCTCTAGGGTAACTCAATAACTACCACCGCTATCATCCCCATTTAATAAATGAGGGGGGAATCCTGAACCTCAGAAAAATTCAACAATTTGCACCAAGTTCCCTAGACCATTAAGTTGCAGGCTGGCATGCAGATTAGCGGCTAAGCCTTACCGCCTACCTCCCACTTTATGCAAATGTCACGGAAGGAGGTCACCTAGCTCTTCTAAGGGGCAGAAAAATAGCACCCCGACAGGCTGTCACAAATACACAGAATTTCTAGTCTGGAAGCTACATAGCCACTGAGGCAGAAGAGTACCTAGGGGTAAGGTGGGTCTGCACTGTGCCCTGGGAATAAAGAGAATATCATTTGGGAGAGATGGAAAGAGGTGAGGGGTCAGACTGGGACGGTTCTGGGCACCTGGCAAAGGAATTCAGACTTTATTTGCAGGGAAGTGGGGACTCGATGGAGATCAAGCGCCTTACAAGATGTGAACAATTTTAAAGACAGTAAAATGTAAGATTCATGGAAGTGCCCAGATTGAGCTAGGGTGGCGGCGTTGAGTATGGACAGGAACAACTGGGCAGCTGTTACATTGCCTCAGCTGACCCCTTCTCTCTTAATCATGCTCACATCTTCCTCCCGCACCCATGGGCACTCAAGGCCTCTCCCATCTCGCAGTTCCTGCGCCCTAAGAATCTGCTCAATGGGCTTGCACACTTACAGCAAAATGACAAGCGAGGGGCAGTTGCCATGATCCGATTACCGCTCAAAAGTGGGGACTGGTAAAATCAAGAAAAGCAGAAAGACGGCAAGGTTTCGACTTAAAAGGGATGGGTTGCGGGGTAGGAAAAGGAGAGATGATCTGTGGCATCGTGGGTATCCCAAAGGGCTGGGAGAGCTGCCTGGCCAAGGTCACAATCCAGCAAGCATTTATTAACTAATCCCTGTATCTCTGGCACTAGAGAGGGAAAAAATGAGCTGAGCACTGTAACAGATGCCAGGCTTAAGACCGCTGCTCCCCTCATCATAGGCTTATCAGTTCAAGAAGCAAGGTAAAACTGTCCCTAAGCAGCAAAAGTTTAAGGATTACAAAGTATCTTTCGATCTACCTACCTATCTGCTGAATTATAGTCAACCGCGGCACAGTCAGCATTTCTTCTGGAAGTCTTCCCCTAATTATTCAGACAGAGGATCTTTTCTCCTCATCAAGGGAGAAAAACACGTGTCTTACACAACCCCTCCTAATGGGTGGCCTTATCTTAAGCATCCTCAGGTCTCATGATCCTCCTGTCTCATTTCTTCACGGTCTGAACACCTGGCATTTCTGAATGCATTCATCCATAGCCTGTTTCCTGGTGAGAATGGACATGGCAAAGGAGCCGGAACTTGATCTGATTAGTCGCTGCCTGCTACACAGCACCCGTTAAATTCACAGCACCCAGTTTAAAAAAAAAATAAGAAAGAACAAGAAATAAAAAAACGCCCTGTTAAGATTAATACCTCATCAAACTAGGCCGCTTTTCCCTTGCTTTCAGCCACACACTGAGGATTAAGTGACTGAATGGCAAAGTCATTTAAGTCATTTGAAGGCAGAGGTGGGGAGGCCATACCAGATCGGTGGGGTGACGAGACTTGCCGGTTTCTTATAGGGTGAGTTATTTGACAATGAGGCCAGCCAGCTCAGGTTTTATTTCCGTTGCCCTTCTGACGTCAGAAAAAGCACGAGTTGCAGCACTGTTTCTTCTATCAAGGTGACAAATTACAGCCTTGCAGGCCCTGCATTCCGCAAACCATACATTTATTTCCCCCTCTCTATAATATGCTTTATAAGTTTAAAAAAAATCATGCGGAGGTGTCAAATCTTGCAAATGCATACCGTTTCCTAGCGGTGGTTCGTTTCCTCTCTTCCACGTACAATACCGTCTATCCGTCTGAGTCTAGTACGCAAGCCCCAAAGCCAGTGTGTTTTCCACCGATGGAACAGGCTAGCGAAAGCCCGGGTCTACACCGCAGAGCAAGACACAAAGGGATGGAGTAAGCGCCACCTTCCTCGGCCCGAGGCAGCTTGTGAAAGGCAGTCCACGGCGTGACGCGCTTACCGCGAAATTCCTTTTGCCGCCATATGCACTCGTGTCTGGTGCGAGCACAGTTGGGCCGAAACCCAGTGGCGAGCGATGCGCCGGCAACCGCTCGCTGTTTGCTAGGGTGCGGAAGAGCCCCGCGCCCGGAGCCGGGCTGTCTGGTGGGTGAGGGCGAGCCACACGAGATCTCGGGAGCGTTCTCCTCCCCGCGTGGAGCCGGCCAGTTGAAAAGCTTTTTGCCGCAATGTTTGGGGCCAGGTGCGGGGGAGGGGAGACCAGGGCACCCGGCTCCGGGTCCTGCGCAAGCAGTGGCCTTTTGTTCTCCCGCCCCAGTGGACTGGGCTCGCAAAGGAAGTAGCCTATCACCGGCTCTTCATTCTGGAAAGAACCTCCAGGGCGGGAGAGGAAAGTGAGTCACTGCCAGCATCCTCCTACTAATCCCAGCCGATACAGGGGCCGAGCCCGTGGAGGTGCAGCAAACGTGCACCTGTTTACGGCGCTGGGCAGCCGCGCTGAGACTCCGCTGCCCTGCCAGTCCCGAGATGTAGTCTGCCTCACTCCTCGGTGTACCTCCTGTCCCTCACACTGCATACTTGGTCCCTAAACCTGGAAAATGGAACCAGATCTGGTGCCACACTCCACAACCATGAAAACAAGTCCAAAAAGTCAGCCACGGTGTGCGACGGTACAATCTGGGGTCCCTACGTTCCGGGAAAGACACCGGGCTCAGCCTTCGTGAAAGGCAGCACCGCGCTCTGCCCGGGTCCAGGAGACATGGAGGCTGTCCGCATTGCCGCCTCCCCTTCCCTCCACGGCCGCCGCTCCCACTGCCCTCCGAACGCACCTTACCTTGAGAAATAAAAGGGAAAGGCGCCGCCAAAGTGTCCGCCCTTCCAGGCCGTCCCCGGCAGTTAGATGTCCTTTGTGTCAAGGTCTAGCTAGGGAAAAGGTGGCCCCTCGTCAGCAACGCTGGGCGGGGAGGATCCGCGTGGCGGGTTTAGGAGGCTGGCCGGGTTTGCCCGCGACCTTCAGGCAGAGTGGCGTGGCCGCAGCTCTCCCGGCTCTCCTCCTCCCGGGGCTGATTGCATCAGAGTTCCCCCCCACCCACACTCTGCCCGCCAACCTCACACTTACATCCACACGCCCGGCGCGGAGGGGCTCCAGCCTGACTCATTGGCTACCACGGGGCGCGTCGCCCTTTTTGCTTCTGCAGTTTGGGGACAGGAGCGCGGCCTTTCAGACCATCATCTCTCCCTGCCCGTGCGCCCACGGAGCTGAGCTGCTTGCGGCGGAACGATGTGGGTCACATGCCGCTGGTCGCTGCACCTTCGTGTTTCTCTCCCAGGCTGTAGGACAGCGAGGCGACCCCGGTTGGCGGAGACCGAGCATCCAGGAAGCGCTGTGCGAGCGGATGCATGAGCAGCGCACAGATGCTGCCGGAGCAAGGAGGCTGCGCGCCGCCCAACACCTGCCCGCGCCCTCCCGGGGGCTCAGCTGGGGCCACAGCTGCCGCACCCGCACCCTCCGGGTTGGAGGTGGAGCGGATCCCTCGCCCAGGCGGTGGCAGGGGGGCTGTCTCTTGGGGTACGCCAGGGCCGCAGCGAGCGGAGTTGCATTGTGGGAAGGGTGCAGCGTGAGGGTAGCCCCGCGACCCTGAGGCGGGCTATGGGACGCTGGGAGACCTTTGGAAACCTGGTGTCCCGAGCCAGCGGGCTAAGGTGCCTCCCCTCCCACTACGACACCTGCAGTCCTCCTAGAACAGAGCTGGGGACCCCCTTGGGGCGCTGGGTGTGACAATGACCCAAGGGGTCTGCGCCAATGGCCCTGATGCCTCAGCCACGTGACTCTACCCTTGGTGGGCCGGGGAAGGGGAACAGGGTGCAAGCCGCAGCAGTCTCGGGTTCTTCTTCTTGCCCTCTTCTTTGTCTGAGGTGCAACCCCTTACTGACTAGGCACTGGCAGGCACAGTCGCTTCTCCTTAAAATGGCGACAGGAAATCCCACCTGCGAGCCAGCCAATGAGACCACCACCACCACTGAGCCTGCCGGGTGGAAGCCTGAGCCCCTCTCACACGGAAGGATCCTGTTACCGGTTTGCTCAGAGATTCCCCAGTCTGACCATTAATAAATTTTAACAAAGAAGAGGTTTTTATTCAGACACGGGCTCGGGGTCGGGATTCCCGAATGCAGCACATGGCCACCTCAGCCAGGGGTTTATAAAGGCAAAGAGGACAAAGTTACAATTTGTTCTCCTGCAAGCTTGTTTACATAGATGCAGAACCAGCAGGGAAAAAAATTAACCCTTAACAGCCCTTAACATTTGACGGTCTAGCTTTACTTTATACTTCTCTCAAACACAGAGATTTTAAACTTTTAGACAGAAAGTTAGCCATCAACATAACGTTAGCCATTACAGCTCCATCTTTCTGTTCCATCAAAACAAGAAAACGGCGGTTGAATCATAATTTAAAAATGAGTCTACCTGGAGCTTTCCTAACGCATGAGTCACGGCTGGTTTGCAACGGTTACAGATTTTCAGTTTTCACTGGAAAAATGTGAAGACAACCAAGATTTAAGCTCCTTAGTGACGAAAATTCTTGCTCCCTTCCAATGGCCGTGGTTAGTTACTTGGCTTCCAGAGAAGCAACTGGGAGGCGTGTTCTTTATTATGCCTGAAAACTGAAAGGTCATTGCAAACAGAAGGGCAGCCCAGCCCAGAACAGGGTAGTTTCTTCTGCATACACAGCGTCTTTAACCTGCCCCACTTTGGTCCTGTTGCTGCTTCTTCAGATGCAAAACTTAGCCATCACATTAATAATCTGCAAGTTTACACAAAGGTTGAAAGTGGTAGTTTTAAGTTACGGTTGTAGCTTTGAGGAAATTAGACTGAGTAGGTAAACTGAGGCTCAGCTCAATAAGCCTGTTGAAAGGTGTACATTGTTAAAGGAAGGTCTACACTCGTTTGGGTCTCAGAGATTCTGATCTCAAGACTCTTAGCTCAGGTTTTTTTCACTCATTCATTTATTTTTTAAAAATACAACACAATAAAATATAATAGGATAAAACAAAGCCTACCACTTTGGAGTTGGACAAGACAAAGAGAAGGAAAAGAGTCTAAAGAAGGCACAGGAGTCAGAGACTCTCTTGTTCACACTCAGGGATCGCACAAATCTTTACACTGGAAGCTGTAATATATATGCAGAGGTGTATCAGGCTTTTTCTTTTGATCCAAAACCAGCTCCCAAATCATGACGCAGAGACTTAGTTTTGAATGCTTGACCTAGTTTAGGCTCATTTCTGGGTAGTTCTTTTAAACTTAAAGTAACCTGTTTCTCTTTATCTACCTTTTGCCTTAAGGCTTTCTACCTTTCTTACCTCTGTGTATCTTGCTTTCACTGCTTCTCTGTGTCCAACTGGCATCTGCCTGGGTTAGCTCGGGTTTTAACTTGCCAGCTCCTGGCCACAGTTACCCATCGCTGTATGAATTCAATAGTTAGGAACCCAGCTCCTTCCATTCACCAGCCTCTGTGCTTAGCACTTCATATTTAATATTCACATTTCATCCTTTATACACTTCAGTGGGGTATTAATTATCCTCTCTATAAATAAGAAAACAGGTTCAAAAAGGTAAAATTGACCATATTGTTGAAAGTCAGGCAGTTGATAGAGGTGGGGACTGGATGCCCACTCAGGCCTGGTTCAAGTCCATTAACAGTCCTTAGAAGCACAGTGCAACTAGGTGTGGGTCTTCATACCCTCCAGGAATGTTAGTTGACACCTGCAACTGGGGAGTGGGGGGTGTGGGTGTATATCAGTGCCAGGGCTGCAGAGAAAGACTGTTGCTGTGTAGAGACATCCTGAGGTTATGCAGAGGCACTGTTAAATGGTCATAGCGGAAACTTCCCTTTTGAAGTCCTTTCAATAGGTCAGCAAGTTAGCCCAATTGCTGTAGTCTCAGGGCCTCTGAATGATGCCATGATGGTTCCCCACACACTGTGGACTTACTAAGAAGCCAGCAACAGGACAATGCTATCCTAATCCCTAACTGAAGGGTTAAAGAATTTACCCCAAGACCACACAGCCGTAATAGGCATGTCTAAGTCTTAGGCCCAGAAACGGTTATCTATGTCTGGTTCTGAGAGGTTCCTGGATTCTGGGACAGCCCTGCTTACAGAACTAGGAGGTGAGAGGGGTCCAGGCCACTGCATTTCAAATGAGAGCCTCTGTTTCCAGTTTTTTCTAGGCCTAGGGGCTCATTTGCCCTGTATTAGATTTATGAGCACCACAGGTATTGATGCTAGGATCTAACTTATTTATCTACCATTTTCTTTTGAGTATACTGTCCAAAATGGCACTAAAGTAGTTAGGGCACGTTGGTGGAGTTTACCAAGCTGTCCTAACGGACAGAAAGTAGAACTTTCTTTGAAAAGACTAATTTCCGTTTCATAAGGAAACAACAACAAAAACCAGGATGACTGAAACTATCCTGAATAATAAAAGGCTGCTGGAGGTCTCACCTTCCCCGATTTTAAGTTGTATTATGGAGCTATACTAATAAAAACAGCATGGTATTGGCATAAAAATAGACTCACTGAAGACCCAGACATAAGTTCACACACCTGTGGACCCCTAATTTTTGACACAGAAGGCTAAAAATACACACTAAAAGAAAGGCAGCATCCACGACCAATGGTCCTGGCCAACCCGGGTGAGTGCATATACGGGAATAAAAATAAATCTATATTTCTCATCTTATGCAAAATTCAACATCAAATAGACCAAGCACCTTCCTCTAAGGGCAGATATACTGAATCTGCTAGCAGAGAAAGTGGGGGATTGTCTCGAACTCATTGGTCCAGGAAAAGACTTTCCGGACAGAACTCTGGTAGTACAGGCATTAAGAACAGCTTTAATAAATCCATGGGACCTCGTGAAACTGCAAAGCTCTCTAAGGCAAAGGACACCATCATTTGGACAAAGAGGTAGGAGGCTTCAGAGAGGGAAACGATCTTTACCAGTTACACATTCAAGAGAAAGTTGGTTAATATCTAACTTACATAAAGCCAGAACCAGGCATCAAAAAAAAAAAATAACCCAATTAAAAAAAGGAGTACAGGGCTGGAGAGATGGCTCAGCGCTTAGGAGCACTGATTGCTCTTCCAGAGGACCTGGGTACAATTCCCAGCACCCACATGGCAGCTCATAACGACCTGTAACTCCAGTTCCAGGGGATTCAACACCCTCACACAAACACCAATGCACACAAACACCAATGCACATATAAAATAAATAAATTATTTTTCTGAGCAGAGAGTTCTCAAAGGATGAAACACAGATGGCTGAGAAACCCTTATGGAAATGTTCAACATCCTTAGCCACCAGGACACGCGAATGAAAACTACTTTGAGGCGTCATCTTACCCCAGTCAGAACGGCCAAGATCAACAACACAAATGACAGCTCATGCTGGCAAGGATGTGCAGAAAGGCGAACACTTATTCACTGCTGGTGAGGTACAAACCTGTACAGTCACTATAAAGACCAGCGTGGCAGTTCCTCAGGATGCTGAGAAGAGAACACTACCGCAAGGTCCCTCTGTGCCATTCTCGGGCATCGTCCCAAAGGACTCTACATTCTAAGACAGAGACACTTGCTCAACCTCGTCCACTGCTCGCTCTATTCATAGTAGCCTAGATGCCCACTAGCAGATGAATGAGTAATAAAACTGGTACATTTACACAATTAATTTTTTTCAAAAGTCATGAATTCTCAGGTAAATGGATGGAACTAGGGGGGGAAATCATGCTAAGTGAGATAACCCAGACCCAAAAAGACAAATATTGTATGTATTCTCTTATATGTGTGTGTTAGCTTTTGATAGGCATACCTACCATCTGTACGGCCACAGAGGTTAGACAGTAAGTAAAGGACTAGGAGGAAGGGAAGGGGAAATAAATGTATAGTTACTGAGAGACTGGAACAAGAGGTTTAGTTGGGGAAGGGGAGAGAAAGTGGGTAAGGGAGGGATAGGCAACACTAAGAGCCGTTTGAAGGGTCAT